TGGACACGAAAGCAGCCCCCATTGGAGCAGCGTTCTGGGGGCGGGGCCTCCTTGGAACCACACCCACTCGGGAGCAGGCTGAGGCCATATTGGGCGGGGCCAAAAAAAAGTTTGTCTTTGGAGCTGGCAGAGGAACAGCCAGGAGCCTTGGCTCTCTCGAGGGAGGCTTCCTGCGGTAGTTGACAGAGTGGACTTGAGTCCTTCCACTTCCATGCCCGTTTGCACAAGCCCCACTCCCACCATTCTTTGAACCAGCGGGCCAACTCTGTTCGGAAGAAGCATCTGCTTGCCTTTCTTCAATTAAAAAAAAAATGAATAAATAAGGATGCCTTGAGCACAGTCTCTGCACTCGGCAGGGATCCCCAATTAGCATGCGTGCTAGTGGCGCTCAGCCTGGTGGGCTGAGACAGCTCCATTGACGAAGGACGCAATAACAACCATCTTATCAGACTGCTCCTTCACAGTCTTCCTGATGTCCACCCACTCTCTGACTTCTGATTGCTACCTCCACCGAACTCAGCCTAACTTCTCAGCCTAATCTTTAAGATTAGCACATGTGGCTAAATCTAGGGCACACTTTAAAAATTTCCCCCTTTTAAAAAGGCATGGACATTTTCTCATTCACAGACTTCTCAATCTTTCTTCAGCATATGATACCATACTCTCAATTACCCCCTCCTTGAAATGCTTTGGAGTCCTTTGGCTTCCAGGACACTCATTTTTCTCATTCTTTCAACAAATATTTAGTATTTCAGGCATTGTTCTAGGATTTGAACCATCATTATTTCTTGCTTTAATTGCCACCATTCAGCAACCTCTTAATTAGACTCCCTGAGTCTCTTCCTCCCACCTTCATCCATCCAGCCAGCCACTGCAGCTAAGAGGGTTCTTCCTGAAATGCAAATCTGTTACTCCCCAGTTGAAAACTCTTCAAGGTTTCCCATTAGACCAAGTCCAAAACCTGTTAGTACATGAGGCCCTCCACTGAAAAGCAAGCAAAGAGGTGGAGAGGCCAGGGGCTGGGTCAGCCCTTCCTACCACACTCAAAGCTCAGGGCTCTGAAACCAAAGAGTCCTCTAAGTGTTCCATCCTCAAGCTTAGTAAAAACTTCCACCTAAATCCCCTTCTTGACTACTTACACAGTACATAAATGGCTGAGAAGTACCACCACCAAGAAAACCTATTTGACTTTTTTCCTCTATTTAATGGAAAAACAAATTTGGGCCAGGGAAGGCTTTCCTCTGAACATCAATCCTAGGGAATAAGTGGGGAAATCCTGATATTTGGGCTCATCACCTTGCACACAAAATCCACTTTGCTATAATGGTCACCTAAGGGCCCTTCAGAGATAGAACAAGCAAAATAAAGTGGAGCTTGTATATACAAAGGGTTGCAGAAAGAGGCATTAAGCTAAAATTACTGCAATGTGCCAAAAAAACATAAGGGTGACCAAAAATTTTTGATAGAAATTTAAATATTCAACACATAAATGTAAACATTAAAGTTATTGTATTTTTTTACGGCAGAACATTAAAGCTTTATTAGAAGCGATAGTACACTTCCAGACGTGGAAGCGGGCCTGAGCAGGAGAAGCCTGGCTCAAAGGCCAAAATGTTTTTATTAGTGAGGTGGGTCATAGTATACATTCTGCCTTATCTCAATGAGACTTTATAATGTCTTTTGGGACTAAAACCTCTAAAATTCTATGTCAAAGTTTCATACCGGCCTGGGCAGAGAGCCAGCTACCTGGGGACCCAAGTCTCAGCTCGGGGTCTGTGAACTGTTAAGGAGAGCACCACTGGGGTAAGAGTTGCTCCCTGGAGAGGCAGTCACAGGTGCACAGTCCCAGCTCAGCTGCGGGTGTCTGCATACCTGCACTGCAGCCTTGATTCTGCTACTTATAAGCTGTGTGACCTTGGACAAGTTACTAAATCTCTGTCCACCTCCACCTCTTTGTCTGTTAAATGACAGTATTAAGAAGAACCTGTACCTTTAAAGCTGCGAGGACTGCTTGTTTTCGCACAAGACGACGTATGCTCAGCGTTGGGGCTGGAGGAAAACTGAAGACTGTGCTATAAGGAGAGCATCTGGATGAAGCAGGGCCGTATGCAGGGGAGGGATGAAGAAATAAAACTCAGTGGTGGGCAATGGGAGAACGAGCAGAGAGGCAAGACCAGAGGAAGTGGGGCACCATACCAGAGGCACATAAACTATCACTTTTCTAAGACTTGATAGGAAAAGTCCATATATAAAGTCAGGAGTATGCAACTCCTGCACACGTTCCCTTCTCAACAATAGGTTTGACATCCTTGGGGCTTGTCCAAGAAGGTAAGAAGCAGATACGTCCATGAGGGCTCATTTATTTGATTTATTCTAAGGTTTCTCCTCTTTAGTGAGGCCATTTTTATTAGTTCTTGATCCTCCTGAGACAAGTGAGAAGGCCATCATGAAAATGCCCACATGACCCTTATGAACGGCTTTCTTGAAAGGGACTTAGAGTGGTTAGAAAATAAATACTTCTGGAGGGACTATTGTTCCTCCTGGGCTGCCAAGGCCACCAGTGCTGCTTGTACCTCTTCTGCCTGGGCGGGGGGCAGCAGACAGTCTTGAATGAGGGCCAGAGCGGCTGCTTCTGTCAGGCCGCTGAAGTCCTGGGATGTTTTGACAGGGAGGTGCCCGGCCAGCTCACAGAGCGCAACATTGAATGCCTCGCCTTCCTTTATCCCAAAGCTGGACTTCCGGGCCCAGAGGATCACCCGGACCCCCATGAGGGCTGAGGAAGGTGAAGTCTTTCCAGGTGGGGCCCCCCGGGTCACAAACAAGTTATGTGCAATCTCGTGGTCAGTCAGATAGTCGGTGGCCCGACATACCCTGCTAACCAAGGCTTCCAGGTCAGGCCCTGGCCCGCTGGTGTAAAAGAGGAAGCCAGGAGCTGGGAGAGCCTGGAGCAGGTGCAAATGGCCCCCAGGGTCCAGGGTCTTGCTTGGTGCCCCCTCCACGGGCAGTCTGTGGTCCAGGTAATACCCATGCAGGTGGAGGTGGTTCACTGAGGCCAAGCCACCCAGGCTGTTGAAACCGACACGAAAGCCTGGGTGCGCGCTCAGCAGCACCGCCTCAAGCCCAGCCCGCAGCACACCCGGCAGCAGGCGCTGGGGGAGCCCCTGGGCAGGCTCCGGCACCAGCAGCACATGGCCCCACTCCAGGGGGCTGATGTTGATCACCACGAGGATGTCCTCTTGCTGGAGAACACCTGAGAGACCAGGCTCCTGGCGCAAACGGAAGAGGACTTCTCCTGGCTGGATTTTGTTGAAGTTAAACTGTTCAGGGTCAAATGGTTGCCTCACACTCCTGATGTTCTGGGGGCGCCTCCTCTGCATCCCTCGTTCCATGTTCAGCTGAGCCACAAAACCCACGGCACCAGGGAGGGTTTGGGTCTGTAGCTCTCCCAGACAGTAGCGGAACAGCCCCAGCTCCATCCGCTGCCTCCAAGCAGAGCGGAGGGCAGCGTCAAAGCGAGACAGTGGCAGCCTGTCCGGGAGGCTGGGTGCGTTCCTCGGCCACTGGACCCCTTCCCACACAAGTTCCTTCTGTCCATAGACAAAGTCAGGGATGCCTTGTCCTTCCCATTCCTCTTTGTTTGGAGGGAGCAAATAGGAAGTGTTACTTGAATCATGTGGAACAGCCATGGGAGTAATCTGAAACAATCATAAGAGGTGAAAAACACATGATGTTACCCTATTTCCAGAGATTTTATTTTTATTTTCGAATAACCTTTACTTGTAGTTCTGATTACAAAAGTAACATGTGTCTTTGGTAAAATACTTTGAAAACTTAGAAATCACTCATTATTCTGCCACCTGTAGATTAGCATATATTTTTGCTAAATTAAAAATATATATTGAACTTTTTTCTTTCTAAAATTTATATGGGCTGGGTAAACTTCCTTAATGGAGAAAAAAATAAAGATAAAATACAACCCTATTCCAACGTCCGGGGAAAAAAAATCACAATTTACATTTGGCCTAATTTTCTTATGTAGATGGACCTTAAGTTTTTAAAACAAATCTTTAATTGTACATACAGGTTGCTGCCAATTTCATACTAAGACACGCACTATTGCAATGAACGTTCTGTATATCTATCCTTGTCAACACATTTTTACTTTCCTTTATAATAAAATCCCAGTAGATCATTGGGTCAGAATAGGCTCATGGCTCAAGCTTTTGATATATACTCTGTCAAACTGCCCTCCAGAAAACCATACCATTGTTCCAGTGTATGAAGATGGCCAGGGTTTCAAAGCTGACCACTCCCTGGATGGGAATGGTTTTCCAACTATTTGGCAGTGATTTCGAATGACTATGCATAGAACCATGCGGGTGAGAAAGGCCCAGTGTATGCTTAAGTGCCCAGTCAATCCTTCGAGGGGAAGTCAGTACCTGTCTTCATCTCCCACTGGGGCCCTGGAGCCCTGCGGACCCAGCGGTGACAGGGAGAGGAGCCCGCTGCTGGTGCAGACAGAACTTCAGAAGGAGGTTTACCTCAATAGAGTCGCTTCAGTCCAAGCTTGGGTTCCCTCAGCTCTGCTGGTCCAGAAACTTCACATTAATAAAAAGGAAAGAAAACATAAAACATGCAATGACATATCAAAATTCAAGCTGAGTTTAATGGATATTGAGTTTCAGTTTCGTAAGATAAAGTTCCAGGGACTGGTCGCACAACAATGTGATATACTTAATACTACTGAACCGTACACCTAGAAATAGTTCAGATGATAAATCTCGTATGTGTTTTTTTTTACCCCCTAAAAAAAGTTTAAGTCAAGCTGAGCATAAATTTCACAATAAAATGTAAAGTCTAAAATTATTCTATTAAAAGTGAGTTTTAGACATTCCTCCAAAGAAGATACACAAATGGCCAACAAGCACATGAAAAGATGCTGAACATCACTAGTCATTAGGAAAATGTAAATCAAAACCACAATGAGATACTACCTCACATCCATTAGGATGGCTACCATCAAAAACAGAAAATAATGAGGAGAAATTGGAACCCTTGGGCACTGTTGATAGGAACTTAAAATGATGCCACTGTGAAAAACAGAATGACAGTTCCTCAAAAAAGTAAAAACAGAATTACTATATTAGCAATTCCAACTTCTGGGTATATACGCAGAAGAATTGAAAGCAGGTTTTAAAGAGAGATTTGAACCCCCATGTTCATAGCATCAATATTCACAGTAGCCAAAAGACAGAAGCAACCCAAGTGTCTATCGACAGATGAATGAAGAAACGAAATGTGGTACGTACATACAGTGGAGTATTATTCAGCTTTAAAAACGAAGAAAATTCTGACACATGCAATAACATGGATGAACCTTGAGGACATTATGATAAGTGAAATAAGCCAGTCACAAAAGGACAAATCCTGCATGATTGTACTTATATGAGGTACGACAGTAGTCAAATTCATAGAAACAGAAGGTAGAATGGTGGTTGCCAGGGGCTGGGGGGAGAGTAGAATGAGAAGTTGTTTGTCGTTTAATGGGTACAGAGTTTCAGTTTTGCAAGATGAAAAGAGTTCTGGAGATCGGCTACACAACAATGTAAATATATTAACACTACTGCATACTTAGAAATGGATAAGATGATAAATGTTCTTATGTGTTTTTAACCACAATTTTAAAAAAGGTCAAAATGGTAAATTATTTTACAACTAAAAAAATTTTTAAGTTAGTCTCAAAATAGGTTTAAGAAATCCAGCAATTTGCTATTTACCTGAGCTATAGTTAAGACAGTATTCACTTACTCTTCCATTTATTCAATCATTCGTTTATTCATTCATTCATGGTCAATATCCATCTTGTGCCCACTCCTGATGTGCTGAGGACACTCCTATGCAACCTGGTCCCGCTTAGCTGAGCCACAAAACCCAAGTTTTTATGAAGTAACTGCTGTGTATGAGGCAAGGAGACAGTTTGCTACAAAGATAGCAAATAAGGCAAAAAAAAAAGGTCCCTATCCTTATGAAACTTACATCCTGTGGTGGAGTCAGACGATAAGCAAAATGGACTTGTTAACTGTCCATGGAGGTACCATTTTGTGGGAAACAAGTGATACAATAGAGGGTAACTAACAGGTGGGATCAGAGCAGGGTTCTCTGAGCTGACAGCTGAGCTAAGACAGGAAGAAGCCTGCAGTGAAGAGCTAAGGAAAGTGTGCTCTAGGCAAAGGAAACTCCAAGTTCAAGCCTATGAATCAGGCAGGCACTTGGCCCGTTCAAGAACAGAAAGGAGGCCAGTGTTACTGGAGTACGGCCGACACAGGACGACAGCCTCAGATGAGGCTGGAGAGGATAGCAGGGCCTTACGCTTCATGGTCGGGAGCTTAGATTTTATTCCAAATGGAATAAGAAATCGCTGGCAGGTTCTAAGCAGAAGGATCATCTGATATTTTACAAACCTTATTCTAAGTGCTGTGCAGAAAATGAATTGTAGGGGAGCAAGGGAAAAACAGAGACACCATTTCAGAGGTCACTCTTCCCCTTGCCCACTCTGCTCCTCACTCTTACTAAGCTTGTTCTTGCTCAGGGCCTTGGCACTTTGAGTTCTTCCAGCCTAAAATATCCTTTCCCCAGATTTTCTTTACATGGATGGCTTTTTCAGGTCTCAGATCACATGTCACCACCTCAGAGAAACCTGTGTGTCCATCCCATCTAATGTCCCAAGGAAAACAGGAAGAAGGAAACAATATTGCAAGCAGGGGAAAAAATGTCTTGGGGGAAAAAAAAAGAGTCCACAAATCCAAAAGTTGGTACTTTGACAAAAATATAAACCTTTGAAAAAGCTAAACTAATTTTACAACAAGCAGCACTAAAAGCTATTTTTAAATATATATCAGCAATCAGTTTTATCACTGTATCAAGAGTTAATCAGGTACAAGATGGACAATATGCTAAGACTGGATGGATGACTCAGAATGACTAATGAGAAACATGCCAAGTGGCACAAAATGTTCTGACTGTTCAATATACACCCTCCTCTGTAGAAAAATCTATCAGGAAACAAAATTATAATCAGAAGGTTGTTCAGCGAACCTTTGGGTTCCAAGCCGAGTGAGGTGGCTGGGAGATCTAGGTCATTGCTGGTCACCATGGCTCAAGGCTGATTCCCGCATCTCGACAGTGAAGAGATACTGTCTCATCATGAAGTCCAGGCTGGCCGGCGCTCCTCCTCCTCATTCTAGTACAGGAGACACAGTGACAGCTTCTAGCTCTTTGCCTACTCTTTTACTAACTGAAGATTAACTCTTTCTTGGACAGAAAAAGCCTACTGTCAAAACGATCAGGTTGGGACAGGACTCACTTCAGTCACTTTGACTGGTTTTGGTGTTCCCAGTACTCTGCAGCCTCCACTTCTTGGAATGGAATATTTTCACCATGGTGGGGCTTACATACTGATCTAGTGAGTCTTACTAGAATCACCCTCAGATGATCACCTTCTTATTAAGCGCTGGGAAAACTACAGTCACTCAGCAAACATTCACTCAACAACTGCCATATATCAGGCCCTAGAGGTCATGATTCTCATAGCTCATGGGGCTTCCGGTCTAGTCGGGGAAACAGACGTTAACCCAATCATTACCTGAGTAGATATAAATTGCAAATATAATACAGGCTGTCAAGGAGGAGCACTGGGTACTCTGAGTGTAAGGGAGATTCCTGCTCTAGTCTAGGGGATCAGGAAAGGCTTCCCTGAGTCTGATGGAAGAGGAATTGGGAGCCCATAGTGGCTGAAACACAGGAAGTCTGAGGAGACAGCAAAAAGGCTGATGTCAAGACTACAGAGGACCAGGACTTGGGTTTTTAAACACATAATGGTTTTAAACTAAGACTGACATGATCAGACTTAGACTTTACTAAGATCAGGAAGTAGAATGAATTGAAAGAATCAAGATTTAACCCCGACAATTTTAACTGTCAAGTATATCTCAATAAGGCTGAAAAATGGAAACAAAAGAATCTCACCTCTTCCTCTAGGCAGCTTGGGATCCTCACCTTTTGGAGCTGTGTAAGATTCATTCATTCACGCATACATCCAATAAATATTTATTGAGAGCCTACTGTGTACCAACCATTGTCCTAGGGGTTTGGAGGGGCAAGAGCTCACTGGAGGTCAGCACGGAGTCTGGGTGCAGGGTGGGGTCAGAGGAGAGAATGTAGGCTGGCGTGATGAGTACAGCAGTAGGGAGCTTTGAAGAGAGCCTTAGAATGGAGCGACGTCTTTCTAAATGCTCAAGCCTAGACAAGCCACTCGAATCCTCTGGACCTCTGTACTTCCACATTTTAAATGGGAACCTACCTTGCAGCGTTGTTGTAAGACTTGAAGTAACTATGCACAGCGCTTGGCATTCAGTGGGTCTTCAGTAAACTGCCTCAGTAGGCAGCAAGGTTATGGTTATTTCTGGAGAGGTGACATGGGGACTGCAACGCGTGAGGCGGGTGCCAGGTGGTAACGTCTGGATGGAAAAGCAGTCCCTGGGCAGAGGGGCAGCCGACAGCCTCTGGCCACTCAGAGTTTTCCGGCCATCCTGGCTCCAGAGACGTCCCTGCTGTCCTTACCAGGCCTCGCCTGTGGCTTCCGTCTACCGCAGGCGAGGAAGATGTACCGCGCGGCGACCCCCAAGTTCCTTCCAGGGCCAAAGCGACGTCGACGCACGCGCAGTCTGTACGCACGCACGCGGCGTGTCTCGCCCCGCCCACCCTGGAGGCGGGGCCTGCGGCCTGGGCCCCGCCCCGGAGCGTCCGGCCCCGCCCCGGGCCCCGCCTCCAGCTCGCCAGGGACCGCCCGGAGCCGAGAGCTGGCGGCGGAACCCGGCTGGGAGCGTCTGGGCTCTTTAAGGAGGGGGTGGGCCTGGGGGCGGTGGCCCCAGGAGCGGTTGCCGCGGGGACGGGGCGGTGACGCGACCCGAGGGCGGAAGTGAGAAAGTTGCCGGCGTCCCGAGACGAGTTGGCGGAGCTGTGCGCGAGGCGCGGCGATGGGGGGCTCCGGCAGCCGCCTGTCCAAGGAGCTGCTGGCCGAGTACCAGGTGCGCGGGACGCTGGGCCCCGGGGAGCCGGCGCGCTGGCCTGCGCTCGGGAGCGGGGTCCCGGAGCAGGCGGCAGGGCGGGCGCGGCCTCTGGACGGCCCGCTGACCCCCCGTCTCGTTCTGCCTTACAGGACTTGACGTTCCTGACCAAGCAGGAGATCCTTCTGTAAGTGCTGTCTCGAACTCTGCCTCCAGGATCCTCTGGGGACAGTTTCGGGGGCTCTGTCTTACAGATGGGCAAACTGAGGCTCCCAGGGGGAGGGGCAGGCACCTGCCTGAAGTCGGCAGCTGAGCCGGAATTGGAGTCCCGAGTCCTCGGCTGCGCCCTGCTGCCGGCACGCCCTCCGCGCCCGCGCTGGGGGCCCCCCGCTGTGCAACCAAAGTTGGGCGCTCTTTGACCCCGCGCTCCACTGGCTTCTGCAGAAGCGAACTTCCTGTACCAGTCGGGCGGGAGCTGCTGTGGCTCTCGGCTGACGACCTCCTGGCAAGGCCACAGAAATACTGGGGAGCCTGACTCCTCCCAATTTTACCTGAATAATACAGTAACCGTTAACGCTTACTGAGCACTTATCCTGCGCCAGGAACAGTGCTAAATTACCTTACATTATATCACTTAATCCTCCAGAGGGAGGCACAGAGTCAGTGTAAGAGATCCAGAAAAGGTTGGTAACTTGCCTAAGAGTACACTACGAGAAAGAGGATTTGAACTGGGGCAGGAACCCCCTTTTTAGCCGTGTGCCAGCTTTATGTGGCCAGGGCTCCCCTTGGCTAAAGTAAGCCCACAGGGAAGGTGGGGCTGTCGAGGAAGGAGATAGTTCAGGGTAGCGCTAAAAAGAGGGAGGCTTTGAGGAGCAGGAGACCCCGGAGTTCTCCCTGTTCACAGGGCCAACTTGTGGCTCCTTCCCCAACCTCTCCGCCTCCCAGGGAGCTTAAACACAGTGCCCAGCACAGTGGCTGACACACAGTAGGCCCCCAGGAAATAGCCATTGCAAGAATGGACTCCTAGCCTGTACTGTCTTGTGACATATCTCCCTCTGGCTTATCAAGGCTGACGACCTAGTTCTCTGTATGTGGCTTAGCTCCTCACATGGTGGGCAATGAACAGCAAGGCAAGGAATGGGGTGTAAAACACAGGAAGGTGCACCAACAGGTCCCCCTCCTTCCACTAGAGCCCACAAGCGGTTCTGTGAGCTGCTTCCCCAGGAGCACCGGAGTGTGGAGGAGTCACTGCAGGCACGAGTGTCCTTGGAGCAGATCCTAAGCCTTCCTGAGCTCAAGGTGCCAGGCTCCCACCCTCACTCTGCTACTCTTCTTGAGATCATGCGGTCACTGGTCCCCATTCTTGTCTTTCCTCTGTTTAGTCCTAATTTCCTGTGACTGCCTCTCCTTAGGGCTGCTGTGACAATTTCTATGCACAAGACCTAGCCCCCTGCTTGTAACACAAGTGTTCGATTAACTCTTTCTGTTGTAAATAACAGCCCACCTCATTCTCTGCTTAGGGTGCCTTCCTCTTCCTTCTCTGCCCCCAGGCCGACCTGTAGGTTAACCTCTGACTCACCCCCAGAAGCTTTCCCTGCCCCCTCCCCATCTGGGTCACTGGTCCTGCCCCCCATGCTAGCCCCAAAGTGCAGGTCATTCTCCCCCAGGAGCCTGCGCTCATGGTGCGGGTAGTGACCTGGACGCACCACTCCCCCACCGACCCCCCGTTCCCGGGGTGTGAGTGCATGACCTGGGCTGTGTCCTGTGGCATTCACAAAGGCTCTCTTCCTAGGCCAACCCTTTCAAGGAGCGAATCTGCAGGGTCTTCTCGACCTCCCCAACCAGAGACAGCCTGAGCTTTGAGGACTTCCTGGATCTCCTCAGTGTGTTCAGTGACACAGCAACGCCAGACATCAAGTCCCACTATGCCTTCCGCATCTTCGGTAAGGACCGCGAGGAGCCTGGTGAAACGCAGTCTCTCACACGGTCTTCTCAGTGATACTGCTTAGGAGCTGGGCATCACTCTGGAACCTTGGCGCTCACCTGACCACATCCTTTCGGGCTTCCTGTATCTGCTGTCTAGATTTCGATGATGATGGAACCTTGAACCGAGAAGACTTGAGCCAGCTGGTGAACTGCCTCACGGGAGAGGGCGAGGACACGCGGCTCAGTGCTTCAGAGATGAAGCAGCTCATTGACAATGTGAGCAGCTGGGCCCAGTGGGGGCGGGCCTGTGAGCCCAGAGAAGGGTTGGAGCTTTGGCCTGACACGCTTTCTTTCCCAGATCCTGGAAGAGTCTGACATTGATAGGGATGGGACCATTAATCTCTCCGAGTTCCAGCATGTCATCTCTCGTTCACCGGACTTCGCCAGGTAAGACAGTGGTCCCATCTGTGACATCTGGGTCTGGGACATAGTTATGGGAGTGGTGCCCAGTATAAGCCCCCTGCTTCCTCTAAATGACTCAAGATAGCTCTTCTCCTAAGGGGAAGTGACAGACGTGGGACACAGCCCATTCCAAAGGGCCTTAGGGGAGAGGTGGGTAAGTTTGGGTTTAGACATAACCCTCCTCTTGCAGCAGAAAACCCAATTCACTCTTCTTTGTTCAGCTCCTTCAAGATTGTCCTGTGACAGAAGCCACAGCGTGTATCCCAGCACCTTGTCAAAGAACCTTTCCACTGCTGCCCTGTGGCCAAGGTTACGCCTGTGTTGCCAGGTCCGGCCAAGCTGGCCCAGTCGAGCTGGCACGGTGCAGTCTTGTCCTGGGCAGGGGAGCGCCCTCCACGTAAGGGCCTCTCCCCTTCTCACTGCCATTGTCATCGCTCTGTTTGTGTTTTTACTAATCAATAATAAAGGTTTAGAAGTTTTGACCCTGTGCGTGACACTAGAAACACTGGTATGAGGAAGAACTGGACTTGTAGGAGACTTCAGTTGTACTGGGCATAAGGAACCTTTAAAGAAGGGGCTGAGAAGGGAGCGTCGGGGATGGAACTCTTCTGTCTCCAGACTGTGGTGGCGGTTACCCGAATTTCTACAGGTGTTGAAATTTATAGAACTGTATACCAAAAAAAAAAAAAAATTTTTTTACTATATGATCATTTAAAAAATAAAATACTTCTTTTTGAAGAGTTAAAAAACCTTGTTCCCTGTGCCCTCACCCCTGAACAGAGTAAGGGGTTGAGGTACAGGAACAAATCCCCTGCCCCGCTCCATCAGTGTGTCCAGCTCCCCCCAGGGGGAGCCACACTCCACTGGGAGATGCAGTCGGCCAGGCCAGGCTAGCTCTGGCCCACTAGACCCTGGAAAGAGGAGCTTGCAATCCCCCTGAACTCAGAACTAGACCAACCTCAAAAAAGCAACAGTCCTTTAAAATGAAGGGCCATGATTCAATTTTAATTCTTTCGATTTTATTAAAAAAAAAAAAAAAGTAAAGTGCGTCTTAAAAAAATATAAAACCCACATAAACTCAGGGCCCCTGTGCGGGGTAGCGCCACTATCCCTTAGAGTGGAGGCAGGCAAAGTGTGGGGGTGACGGGCCTGGGCTCAAAGACGAGGCTGGGGTGGATATGGGGACAGGGACACACGGGTTCTCAGGCTGGACGGAGGAAGGAAGGCAACAGTCTCTTCTCAAAATTCCAAGGGGAAGGTGTACATCGTCATGAACTCCTGGTTTCATGCTGCCTGATCTCTCATGTGGCCGCAGCCTGATGCAGGCTGGGAAGGTGGCTGGAGCCCAGGGCCTTGTGAGGGCCGCAATGCCAGCGGAGCCCTCTGGTCCCTGAGGTGATGGGAAGATGGCCATGACAGCTTGGCCAGCTGGCCAGGTAGGACCCACAGAGCCCAAGCTGGGCTCTGGCTCTGCGGTGAGAGGGGCGGCCTGAAGCAGCAGGATAAGGCAGAGTTAGCGGGGCCAGCTGCTGACGGCTTCCCAACTCTGTCTCGAACCACCACTTCATTTGAGTCCGCAAATCCCCCGTGAGACGGGCCGGGCCGGGAACTGGAGCAGCTGTGTGCACGGCACTCTGTTGTCTCTCACTCTGCGCGCTCTCGTTTCACATTTTCAATGGTTTTTTTTTTTTAAAAAAAGGCTCAGTTTACATGAGGAGCACTGTTCTGCCCACCTAGGCGGGCCCCCATCTTCAGCCAGGACCTCCTGGGCCACGGCTGTCTGGGCTGGCGAGCAGCAGGCCAGCTGGCTCCATCGCTCCCAAGGGCTGGGCGCCACGCTTGGGTGCCACAAGGAGCAGAGGTCCAGCCGATCCGCTCTGAGCATTCATGGCCCTGGAAGCCAGGGTGGCCTCCTGTAGAAGTCAGCTGTCACACTACCGAATCCCGGATCTCAGAGCCTAGGCGGACCCGAGGCCGGGGGCACACCGGGGACACCTCTACGAAGCTGTCGTGGATGCTGAGTGGCCTCTTCTCTGACTCGGTGAAGACCCGGGGCCCCGGGGAGCTATCCAACAGGGCCTGGTAGCCTCGGTGGTCGAGTGAGGTGCTGGGGGGGCCTACACCATTGAGCGGCCGGGTCTCAGGTGGCAGCACCACAGGGCGGGTCTTGGGGTGCACACTGGCACACTCCCCCTGCTTCAGGAAGACTTTCATGCCGCCCCGATGCCGGTAGAGGAAGAATAAAATCAGGAGCACCACGGCGAACACAAACAGCGTGCACATCACCAGGAACTCAGTCCAGTAGGACTTGTCCACACGCCAGCTGGCATTACTTTGGGCCGGTGAACTCACCCGCGATGTGCTGATGACGGCAGGCGCTTTTCCACTCTGCTGTGCCACCGTGTCCTCTATCTTTGGGCAGTAGCTGGCCACCAGCTGCTGGAAGTTTTCCTCCAATGACCAGCACTGGAACACCCCTAGCTCCTGCTGGCTGCCCACCAGCAGCAGGTCCCCAGTGGGCAACACCCGGCAAGAGGCTGAGGCATTGACAGGGGCGCCGTTGTGCAGCCAGAGCCGGGTTGCCAGGTTGGAGAGGAGGGGGCAGGCCAAGCTGTTCACCGTATTGGGCTGGAACTGGACTTGTTCACACAGCGTCTCGTCTAGGGGCAGGCAGGGCAGAGGGTGAAGGGGCCTGGCATCCACAGCAGCCCCAGCTCACCCACCGCCCCTGGGCTATGCTCATCATGCCATGATGGCAACTCTGAGGACTCTGGGGACTGTGGCTCTCACTTCCCAGGCCCCCGCTTGCAGGCTGGAGGGACGAGGATGGAAGGAAATGCATTTACACCCACCAGTGCCCAAATTTGGGAGCCTTCTAAGCAGCTTGGCCCCCGCTTCCCTAAACCCTTTGAGAGGCACCTTACCTGTTGGTAGAGAGATCCGGGCCTTGGCCAAGGAAGTGTTGCAGAGGCCCCTGGCATTAGCCCCCTCAATGTCCTGGATCCATGGCCTAAGCACCAAAGAGAGTTTGGGATAAGCCAGGAACACCCCGGTGAACCCACACCCCCCACCCTAGGTGCAGCACAGGCCCTCACACAGCCCTGTAGGTATAGGTCTGGGCAAGGGCTCAGGGTCCAGGGACTACTAGGCCCAGAGCAGGGGTAAAAGGCAGGTGGCTTTCCCACCCCCACAGGGGCTGAGCCAGCATCTCTGTCTACCCAGTATTTATTTCAAATAAAAGTTACTTTAATACTTCCTTGAATTACAACAGCACTACCAGCCTTTAGAAAAAGTCTGGAAGGACAGCTGGATCTATATGTATATAGCTGTCTTTTTTTAAAACACTGTACATGCACTGACTTGTTTAATAAAATGTAATAATGAAGAAAAGTGATTTTTTTAAGAAAAGTAATTCTTGATGCATTCAGAAAACCTGAAATACTCAACCAAGCACGAAGGCTAAAAACACTGCAAAAATGACCCATAATCTATCATCCAATGATCAGGACAGGGAGCATTTGTGGTGTGTCCCTCCAGGTGTACACATATGTACTCCCCTATGTGGTTTTTTAAAATGTAAAACTGGCACCAGGTATCCCCCTGTGTGAAGCAAGGACATGAGAAGTAGGGCAGATCCAATTTTTACTTAAAATATATGTATTTTTTTGTTTATTTTACACATATCTAGAAAAATCTGGGAGGACATGTATCAAATTCTCACTGATTCTAGGTGGTGGGTGGTGGGATTAGGAGTAGTTATATTTTGATTGGGCTTATCTCTGTTTTCTAAGTTCTCTCTGTATATGAACATCTTACAATCCAAACAAGTTACCTTGGAAACAGTTTTTAATGGGTTTGTTAATGGACTCTTGCGTAGCCCTGGTTTTCTGTCACTTAAACACACATGCTAATCCACATTCCCCTGCAAGGCTTTTTATAGCTGTGACATTTCGTACTTTTCCAAATCATGTCCCTGCTTTACAGGTGGTTGAGGCAAACAATTTTTGAGAGTCAGAAGGGTAGCTAATTAATAATTATGCTGACGGCAGATGCAAATGAAGCTGTATAATGATTCGGTAGAGGGCCTGGGGAGGGAGCTCTGAGGCCAAGTGCACAGAGATGGACAGGTGGGAAGGGACCTTCAGGAGCTCTCACCTGGAGGCTGCCTCACGGGGGTAGAGGCTGATGTGCCTGCAGCTGGAGCCGCTCCAAGCACAGTAGGGGTCCCGGGCAAGGAGGCAGTCCCCGCAGCTCCGGTACAGGCTGCAGTTGGCCACGGGCACCTGGACTACACCTGCGTGTGAGGCAGCATACAGCAGGCCCTGCACAGACACGGGCATGAGGGGCAGATACAGGCAACCAGGGCCCCCACCCACAGCCACAGCTGGCTCTCGTGTCCACCAGAGCCACTCCCCAAAGGCCTTTCATGCTCTCAAGCACCCCACTTTCTGATAGCTCAGACCGTGAGCCTGGATCTCTCCACCCTACTGGGGCAAGGGAGAAAAAGCTGGTGGGGACCGCTTGTCGATAGGAGGGGCACCCCAAACACGCTGTCCAGACTCTTCTGCCCACTCACCCTGTCGGGGTCCAGGAGCAGGTTCTGCACGGGCTGTCCTGGTGAGAAAATCTGCAGCTCCTCAATGATGTGCACCTTGGGGCCCACGCTCACCGCCTTGTGCAGCCGGCCATCACCTGGAGCGAGGACAGTACTCAGGCCTGGACTAGAGCCCGCTGCCCATGACTCCACGGCTGTGCCCCCTGGACTCTGGGCCTGCCCTGCTGCAGGCACTCACCGGTGCCCAGGAAGAGGACGTCGTAGGTGTGGTGCAGGCCAGGGACGCGATGCACTGCCACGCGCTGGTAGCGGGCCTGTGGCTGCAGCAGCAACAGGCGACTCCGGACCTGGCTATCCATCAGGAAGTGGTCCTTGAGGAAGTTGAGCACGCGGTCGGGGAGCTGCAGGGATGAGTTGATCTTCTTCTCCCGGGCACTGTTGGTGATGCACTGAAGGAGGAGGTGGCGGTGTGAGGCGAGGCACACTCAGGGCAGGAAGTGGGCCCCGAGGATCCTGCCTGGGCTGTCTCTTGAGGGGACAGCAGGGTGTCTGCCCAGCCCTCAGAAGCCCCGGCACATCACTTGCAGGTATGCAGAGCCAAGGCGCTAATCTGGAGGTCACAGGGCAAAGCCCAGGGTGTGAGGCACCCAAGGGCCCCAGCTGGCAGGTTTCCCTGCCTTCCCTCCTCTCTGCCCCTCCCCCAGGCCTTGAGCAGCCAATCAGGCTTCCTGCTCCTTTAGCATCGGTTCACTGGCCAGGTTTCCCAGAGGAGGGGGCAGAGGGTTCCTGCAATGAGTTCTCACACTGCCTGGGCTTCCTGATTCTCTCTGCCCAAGGGGTTCTCTGCCACAGCCCTAAGACTTTACATCCAGGACTAACTCTCAATTGATGAGGCACACGGGTTAGTGACAAACACTCCAGTGGAACAATGCTGAGATGTGCTCCACACAGCCTCCCAGGGCCCCAGGGGACTGAGTCCCAGGTGCCCACAGCAGTAAGGGCTCATGGACACCCTGTTTCTTGGCTTTGCTCCTTAAGTCTCACTTTCCTATTCCCTTGAGCTACATCCTGGGATTGCCCCCATGTAAACTGCTGGCACCCGCATCCTCTCTCAGGTCTGCCTTAGGAGAAGCCCATTAGGCTGGACGGAAAGAAGAAAGGCCTATTTCCCCATGGTCTAGCCATTCATCACTGAATAACTAAATAAGGAGCTCGTAGCTGACCAGGGGAGGCACAAGTGAAGAGACAGTTACAAAGGGGTGTGGTGAGCACCCTGACGGGGACACGCCCACCCACCTGAGACAGGTGTGAAGGCACCCGACCTTCATGGTCACATCTAACCCAGAAGGACAAGCAGGCCTGGGCTTTTGTGCCCACTTTCAAGATGAAAAAACAGCCTTGGAGAAGCTGGGTAGTCACGGCCTGGGGTGGGGCCCCGTCCACCCAGCACCCCACCCTGGTGCAGGGAGCAGTCCTCACCGCGCCGGGCCGGGGCGTGGGCACCGGGTACGTCACAGTGTACCACTGCTGCGTCTCACGGTTCACCTCTTTGTAGAGGCCGCTGAAGGCCCTATGAACGTCCTTCATGGTGAAGACACAGATGGCAGAGCCCTCTGTGGTCCCCCTGTGCCTACAAAAAAAAATGGCCAGATTAATGCAGAAGCCCTCAGGCCCAAAGGCCGGCTCCCCGGCCTCAGTCCCAGCAACTCATTACCCTCCGTTCCCAGCTAAATCCTGGAGGCCGTACCACTGAGAGGTGAAGACCCCATAGAAGAGGGTGTCACGCCAGTCCTCGGGGTTTGGGCTCAGCATGAAGACGTCTTGCAGCACGTTAAACGGGAAGCCATCGTCAGGCCGGGAGCACAGCAGCTGGGCCTTCAGGAAGGACGTCCAGCGCTGCTGCAGGATCCGCTCGCCACCTTTGTCGCCCTGGGGGAGAGACAGCGGGGTCTGGGCTTGGTGCTCCTCGTCGTCCCTCCCCAGAAGTGGCTGAGGCAAACACCAGGGCGGGTGGGAAAGCCAAAGCCAGGCCTGAGTTCCATTTAAAATCAAGAAGACTTGGAGGCACAACGTCTACGTCCCAAGACCAGGCTACGTAGACGAGACTGCTTTCCTTGCCGTGGAATCCCACCAAAAAAGGACAAGGAAGAGTCTACCGACAAGTATGGAAAGAGGTCATGACTCCTGTTGAAGAACTGCATGAGTTTAATTCTTGTTTCTAAATAGTCTCCTTATTATATACATATATGGAATAAAAGATTAGCAAGGGACCTTCCAGAACGCTAACAGTGATGACACCCTGTGGTGGGCGTGAGGACCGCACCGCGGACAGTCAACACTCAGCTGCCGCCCACCACATGCCTAAAAGCTCTGTGGGAATTAATTTAATCCACGTGAAAATTCCGAGGCCAGCTTGGTTACGATTCTTATCAAACAGACCGGGGAGCCGTAGCTGAGAAGGTAAGGGACTTGCCCAAGATGACACTAGCAGCAGAGTTTGAACCCAGGCCTCCTGGCTCCAGGTCTGTGCTCTTTATCATGATGCTATACTCACTGCCTCTTTATTCTGTGATATTGCGTGTACTTTTCTGTTCTGTATTTCATGTTTTAAATAAGAGAAGACAATAAGAGGTATTTTAATTTAAAAGGAGGGAGAGAAAAGCCGTCAGTTAAGCTGTTCCTCCCGGCCTTTCCTGATCTGGTGCCCGTGGACCTTTCTGGAGCCTGCTGGGGCTCACCTTGCAGATGCGGGCGATGCGGGATACAATGGTGTTGTCAAAGAACTCAAACTCCTGGCCAGTCTCGCTAAAGAAGAAGTAGATCTTGTCATCGTCCCCTTCCACGCTGCCCAGGCTCTCCGGAATGTAGGCTGAGGCCACAAATGCTGGGTCTGTGGGACCGGTGGGGAGTGCACAGTGAGCCCAGGGGTCCAGGACAGGCGAGACTCTGCTCTCAGGCCCTGCTGCGGGGGATCTCTCCCCTTCCCCCGGCTCCCAAGCCTGCCCGCGGGCCGGCGCTGAGAGGACTTCACCTTGTAGCCAGTTGAGGGAGCTCTCTGTCTTGGTGGGGCGGAGGGTTTGGCTCCGGGAGATGGCCGGGTCATTCCCCTGGAAGTTGCTGACTGTTCCAGTGTACAACTCGCCATCTGCCAAGAGAACATTCCCATGGGAACAGCCCCTCAGCACGGCCTCCTCCCTCTGCTCGGAGCCTGGAGTGACCCCAGCCCTGCCCACATCACTGGGGTGCACAGAGGAGGGAGTGGGAACTAGGAGAAGCCAAACCCAAGGGCAGCCCAGGGTCATTCTGCACTGGGAGGCCCCCCCACACACATGCCACCCCACCCCCTGCCACAGAGCCTCAAGGAGCCCACCCTGCCCCAAACACTCACCAACCACCAGGGCTGTGGACTTGAAATTGGGATCAAAGGGACAACGGCCCTTCCCATCTTCCAGGAGGATGCTTCCCGCCCTGTCTTGTGCCAGCGTGAAGTTCTCCACATTCTGCAGGGGAGCAGACGGGTGGGCTCAGGGGCGTGTCAGGGAATGAGTGGGCTCGGTAGGAAAGGAGGGGGATGCTGGAGAAGGCAACTCTGCGAGGTGGGGGAAGAGATCCCACGGCCCGTCCTCCCCACCCCAGGGCCCTGGGCACAGTGCCAACATCGTCTGCCTCTGCAGTGGGCACTAGTAGCCCCAGCTGGCAGAGGGGAGACGAGGCTTAGAACGATGTGAGCCAGGAAGGGGTGGCAACACGACGCAAACCCGGTACGTCTGGCCAGGCCGGTGCCCCGACCCACGCCACCCTCGGCTAAGGCGTGCGCAGGGCTGAAACACAGGTGTGAGGGTGCTGAGGAGGGGCGTACAGATGGGCAGTCAGGGACCTACAGGCCTGTGTCGTGAGTCCGCCAGGGCCATCACACGCAACTCTCCTTCAGGGCCCCTTCAGCCCACTGCTACGAAGGAGCCTCGCTGGGCCCTGGCCTGCACCAGGGGTTGGCGCTAGACAACAGCTCCCTGGGGCAGAAAGAGGGGCCGTTTCCGGCGAGGAGGGGCACTCACCACGTAGGTGCACAGGGGGCTGAAGGCCCCAGTGCCACAGACGTACAGGTGGCTGCTGTTGAGAGGCAGGAGGATCTTGATGTAGTTTTGACAGTCACGCTGGGGAAGGAGGGAGGAGGATGTCAGATCCAAACCAGCCACTAGGGGGCACCACCAAGCCCTCCCCCAGACCCAAGGCCAGTGCTGGGGGTGCGGCCTCAAGCCCGGGAACACTGGAGAGAATCCAAAAGCAGGAGCCTCCAGGGACGGAACAGACCGAGGGCCACAAGCGTGTGCGTGTGCACTGGAGGGTGGCCTTGGGGTTCAGCTAGTTCTGAGGTTGGCAAACTTTTCTTCAGTCTGGGGTGAGGCACACAATTCCCCCTTGGCTGTCCTAGCCCCTAAGAGTCCTCTTCAGAACCTCAGTAGAAACCGCTGGTCAGTCCCAACCCCCTGGGGAGGAAGCCACAGCCCAGGTCAGGAGGATACACTCAGGCCTGAACCCCGGCCCCAGATGGACAGCCTCCCAGCATCTAACGGCCCCTCTGACCCAGCTTCTGATCACTCCCAAACCTTTCTCCTCTGGGACCTTTCCCTTTTCTTAAGGACAACTCCATCTTCTTGGCTGCTGAGGCTCCAAACCCCGTAGTCAGCTTCGACTCCCTGCCTCTCACATCTCCCCATTTTTGCACCAGGAAATCCTGGTGGCCCCATCTTCTAAATACATCAGGAATCTGACCATTTCTCTCTCCCTTTATTTGTACCACCCTGGTCTTGGTCACCATCACCGCTCGTCCCTTGCTGGCCTCCTTCTTTCTGTCCCTGGGGGCCAGCGCCAGACCATGCCATCCCTCTGCTCGGCCCTCCAGTGGTTCCCCAAATGCCCCACTCAGAGTACAGTCCACAGCCTGCTCCTGCTCCGGGCACCCCATGGTCAACTCCCTCACTGCCTCCTCATCTTGGCTCAGACGTCGCTTTTTCTAGTGAAGTGTAACCTGACTACCTTTTAAACGAACTAATTTTTGCCCGCGGTTCTTTCTCCTTTTTCACAGGTCTATCTCCAGGGTCTAAAAAGCGCCCGGGCACAGAGCAAGTGCTGAATGAAAGTCGTCAGGCGCAGCCAAGACTTGAACCTCTGTCTTGACCCCAAGTCTGGTGCTCTTTTTTTCGCCTTAGCTGTTGCCTGCTGCACTGAGCACCAAGAGGCTTCTGAGAATGGTGGGGAGTCCCAGAGGAGAACCCCAGGCTGAATCTGATCTCCTCACAACCAATGGTCTGGCTAAAACCACACCAGGATGTCAGACCTGCCACATCAGGCACCTTCTGCAGATGGATATAACTCCTGCCCCCACCCAATCACTGCTCCTACTGGAAGCTGATATTTATGTGGCACTTATTTATGTGGCACAGGGGCCTTATGCCTATTAGTAACTTGAATCCTCACTCATGTTAAGTCCAGTGAGACAGGCATCATTATCCACATTTTACAGGTGGGGACGCCTAGGCTCAGAAAATGCAAATTTACTTTTTAAGGCTGCGATTCAAACCCAGGTCTGGCCATCTCAGAGGCGTATGCCCAGTCCATCACCAGTGGCTGCATCTGCTCCCACTCCTACTTCCGCCCTGGGTCCAGCCTGGTCTGTCACCCTCCATCCCGCCTGTAGCCCAGGCCGCGTTCAGGCGCTAGCTCACCTGTGGGTCCTTGCCCTTGAAGCTGCACTGCTGCTTCCTCTCGGCATCTGCGCGCCACAGCAGCTGGGGCACGACAGAGAGCAGGTAAGTGTGCACGTGGAAACGGAGGGTACGCCTCCCCGCTCCTCTCCCCTCCCCGTCTGCATCATCCTTGAACCCAGAAGGTCAGTCTTCCTGTCCACCTTCCCCTCTGCCATCCTCTGCCCAGCCCCGTCGGCCCCGGGCATCGTCTCTCACCTCCTGGTACTCCCCGCCTGGCAGGAAACTGACGCTGCTGTTGAGTGCGAAGAGGGCCTCTCGGGCACCCACGTACAGGGTCTTGCCGTCCCTGCTCAGCAGAAGGGCGGTGTAGTTGGAGATGTTTCCAGCTTGGAAGCTGAGGAACGGCCGCTTTTCAGAGCCTGGGGAGGGGAAGATGGACGTTACCTGGGGGTCACCCTTCCCATGAAATGGACCAATCAGAGTGAAGATAGGTTAGCAAGCTGGTGGGGAGCAAGGGGCAGGGGACAAGGGGGTCAGGCTTAAAGGAGAGCAGCATTCCCGGACTGGTAACATTCTGCGAGAAACAAATACACAAAGGGGAATGGAAAAGAACTTTAATTACAGCAATTAAAGTTCTAAATGTCCAACCACAGGGGGCTGGGTGAAAATAAATCCTAATACTTCATTCGATGGAACACTAGCAGCTGGTAAAAATGATGCTGTAATAGAAACTCCAGAAAAACAAGCAAATAAAGTTATATAACAAGGCATGGTCAAAATATAAAGCGAACTAGAATAGAAAGAGATGGTTTTTGAGCACAGAACAAAATCTAAGAAAGAAAAGGACATTTAACACTCTCTTTTGAGTGGCATCAGACCCGAAGAGAAGGACTTGTAGGCACGGCCCACCCCTCGGCCCTGCAGTAAACACGATTTGCATCCGCACAGAAACGCAGACCCCGGTCTCCAATTCCCGGCACCACCCCACAGTCATGAGTGGAAGATTTACGATTATTCAACAGGATGTTCATGTTATCAGCCTTGACCTCAGCAACTGGACCGCACAACAGACAGGCACTGTGATGCCGGGAGCAAGGGCACTTAGAAGTGTGCGGTCTCTATGTCGTCCTCTGAGAGCAAAGAGGGCCACAAAATGCTGTCCACGTGAAGGGAACAAGAAACCGAGGTGGAGGCATATTATTTTAAATTGCAAAGGCAGCCAAATATAGTCGCAGAAAATGTCCGGGGGAGGTGGGCAAGGGTGGTGTAACTGATAGAAAGCCTTATTTTTCTCAGCAGCAAATCAGTGCGTCAGATAAGATAAACAGAGGTACAAGCATTTTACTTAAATCTACGTAGGGAACCACTGGATAACAAGAGGTCTAAACGATTAAGAGTTACCCCTTTAACCACGTCTGGGCTGGGGAAGACTGAGGAAGCTGTTTCTTTTCACAATAAATCCTACACTTAAACAAAATTATGTGCATGTATCCTCGATACAAGTTTTAAATGTGTTTCATTGTTATAGAATACATAATAACAAGGAACGATTCTAATGACCTAACACTGAGTGAAGCCGAGGTTATAAACTACTATGCATACATAGTCTACCTTTTTGTAGGAAAAGTACAAACACAGAAAAAAAATCCAGAAGAATGAATCACAAAATGCTGAAAAGTGGTAACCTTCATGGGTTTCCGGGGAATTTTTTTTGCTTTTCACTTGTTATCATTTTTGGAGTCGACAGGTTATACTTGCGTAATGTGAAAGAAACAAATTATAAAAAGAAAACTGAAATGCGCACACACACACATCTATCCACCAGGGTACCGTTCGTGCTCTGAGTGACGAATGAATTTGGAGAGAAATTATTTTAAAAATTCTAAGCAGCTGATATGAAAAGAAAAACAAGCACAAAGCAGCCACCGTGCCCAACCTCAGGCGTCTCCTCACTGACCGGTGGATTATGACCAGACAAACAAATACAGTTTCATGAAGCAGAGGAAGCAAAAAGTACCACATGCCGACAAAGCAGTTGTGAAGATGACTTTGTGTGTGTTTACATAGCGAGTGATTTTACATACCCCCAGCCTGGTTCCACAGGGGTGAGAAAATATTAAAAAAAAAAAAGGAGGTAGTGAAATATAAACACTAAAATTAAGAGCAGAGAAAAAAACCAATCTGAAGAAGACATCAAAACCAGAAAGGAAGGACGGGTTCCCAAAAGCAGGTCATAGGCCCCACATAGCTCCTGGAATTGGGCTGAACATTTAGTGCTGAGCCTCCCAGCAGCCAAGGAGAAAAGGGAAATGAAGTTGCCTTATCCTCACTGTCCAAGAGGAAGAACGCATCCCTCCCTCCCAGAGTTGCCTCCCTCCCAGAACCAGAGTTGAAACCGGGTTGCACTGGGAACTCACAGGGGAGAGTCCGGCTCAATGTCCAGACCCCGAAGTCTGCTGCTGAAACCACATAGGGCAGCTGTGGTCGGAGACGTTAAGGCCTCTCTTTAAACTAGTAAGTCCAGAATCACACCAGACTCTAGGTTTTTTGTCTCAAATTCCCAACTCTTCACCACTTCCTGTGAGCACTCTACATCCTGGGAGGCCCAAGGAAAGTTTCCAGCACTAACCTCCTACTTTTCCCAGACGGAAAATGCCCCAACACACTGGGCTCCAACTATGTTGCTTGGGCTTTGTGCCAATGAGACAATGAGCCTTCTGGAACAAGTGGCCTGACCCTTCTATGCTCTCTTCCTGGGAGGAACCACCAGCCTCCCGTTGGCCATCACAGGTCCGCTCCAGGAAGGTGCCGTGCTAAATAAACTCCTTGTAGATACTAACTCCCTGCATGCCCACAACAACCCTAGGAGGTACGGACTGTTGTGACCCCCACTTTACAAATGAAGAAAATCAAAGCTCAGAGAGATTCAGCGATTTACGCAAAGCCACACAGCAAAAAAGAGGCTGCAGTGTAAGGTCGGCTTAGAAGGGCACGGTAGGCAAACTGTGGGATGCAGCAAAATCACCCAGAAGATCTGAACTCCATGTCCTGCCTGACTCTGATGCCACTGACCTGGGCCAGGGCCGGGGAACATGCAATCTTACGAGCTCCCACGTGATTCTGGACTGAAAGGTCCAAGGACCACACTTTGAGGCGTGCCATGCAGGTCTTCCACAGCACAGTGTACACATCGTGTCGCTCAGCTTTAGCTTCCTCACACGTATCATGGGGATAATGAGAAAAACGTAAAACTCACGGCGGTGTCCTGAGAAGTCAGTGAGGCTGGGGCAAGTGGCTGTTGCAGTCCCTCCCTACCTTTTGCACCCCTCTAGTTTTCTGAAAACAAGGGTTATCCCGAATCTGCCAATGCTTATCTGCCCGCAGGGCGGAGACTTCAGTCTGGGCAGGAGGCTACTCTTGGAATCTGTCCAGATACAGAAATGGCAAAGATCAGAGATAAAAGCTGAGGTCCAGGTGGCAGCTGGACCACACTTGGGCCGGGGAGGGGGTGGACACCTGCCAAGGGTGACACAGGCAGAGCACAGCCCGGCTGTAGGGGCAGCCGGGGTGCCAGCTGCCCATCCGCAAGTCCAGCCCTCCACACAGGCCAGCTGCTCAAGAGTGCCCGCACCTGGGAGGTGGCAGAAATGCCTCGGAGAAGTGGGTAAGGGGCCCCTCACACGCCTTCCCACGCTGGGGATGCTCCTTCTGAGTCCCCCTGCCCCGGGCCGCTCAGACTCGAAGCCATGGTATCCTGAAGGCCCTGCCTCCCGATCCCTCCTGCACTATGGACTTTACCGGGCTCGTCGGTGGGGCTGGCTTCCCAATGGGAGTCTCAACCAGACAGATGAGGATCGCAGAGGCACAGACCTGGGTCCAAATGCGGCCTCTGTCCCTTACGAGCCTTTTGCCACCAGAGCAAGCCATTTAACATCTTAGAGCCTCACTTTCCTTATCTGTAAAGTGGGGATAATGACACCTTGCCTCATGGAGTTGTTATGTGAAGAAATGCGATTATGCATGTAAATAATAATATGCATAATGAGCCACGTTTACCGAGAGCTTCCTCAAAACAACCGTGGGCACATTAACCCAGTGTTGGCACGGTGTCTGGCACACGACCAGCACTCGAGTGGATCAAAAACAAAAGCCCAAAGCCCTGCAGGAAAATCCAGCCCAGCGAGAGCGGCCAAGGAGCAGGGCAGCTGCGAGGAGCTGCCTCTCCCTCGTCCTCACGGTGAGAGCATTCATGCCAGAGACCTGACCGAGGCCCGCACCCGGCCACACGAGGGTCGCAAGGCCAATCAGAGAGCTTCGGCTCAGAAACGGGACGCTGGCACAGGCACGCGGCGGGCAGTGCTCCGAGTGGTGTTCCCACCTCAGCGCCCAGTGCCTGGCGTCGCCTCCGGGGTCACAGCACCGATGTCTGTGCAGGTCCTGCCTGAGCTTGCCTCTGTGTGTGTGTGTGTGTGCGTGCGTGTGTACGCCCCACCACAGGACTTGTCCATCCTGGTGTGTTCCCTCCAGGGTTCTGTTTGTGTACAGGTGACAGGGACAGGCGTTTGTGCACTCGGCTCGCTGGCACGCCTCGGGGCCGGTCTTAGCATTGACACTGCTCTCTGTGGTCTCCGCCATCCTCCACGTCCTGGGTTAGTCCACTATGGAGGGAGCTGGGCCCGAGGCTGTGGCCAGTTTTCCCAGGCGCCCGGGGCAAGCCTGAGCTGGTGACTTGTCCAGGGCTCCAAGGCCAGACGGTGGGGCTAGCCTGGGGCTCCTCCTGCAGGTACCATGGGGTGGAGCGTGTCAGAGCCACCTGCATGGCCCCACTACCCCAAACCAGGGCTTGGGACATCAGCAGGGAGTGATGTGGGAGCAACTCTACCCCAGACTCATCTACAGTTTCTCACTTTCCCTGTGACTCAGCCGGAAGCTTGGCGCTCTCTAGGGTGAGACGGGAATAGGGCTCAGCACCGTCCCCACCCCGGGCAGTCCCCACCCCGGCCAGGCCATCCAACGAGCTGTGGCAGGGCCATGACTCAGAGCCCCACCCCACCTTTCTCTCCTTGGTGGCTCCTGGCACCACAGCTGACCTGGCCCTAACATCCCGCCCTCCACAGGCCCCAGCTTCCCTGGGGAGTCAGAGCCAGGACAGTGCTCCCATCAGGCGAGGCAGCCCGCTACCCTGCAGCTGGGATCACGAAGTTCCAGGGAGGGTCTGAGTTCGAGACAGCCCCTGAGGGCCTCCCGGAGGCTCAGCAGGAGCACCTCTTCCCAGGGGGTCACACTGGACCCTTGGGCTCACTTGTGTCAGCAGGAGCAGCACCTCCAAGGCAGGAGTGCTGACTCAGTGACTGACTAGAGCAGCCAGTGACCTCACACGTCCTTCCTGCACACCGCCCAAGTGCTAGGCAGGGCAGCC